CTAACCAACTGAGCTACAGAAGACAGTTGTCGAGCTCTAACCAACTGAGCTACAGAGGCCAGTTGTCGAGCTCTAACCAACTGAGCTACAGAGACCAGTTGTCGAGCTCTAACCAACTGAGCTACAGAAGACAGTTGTCGAGCTCTAACCAACTGAGCCACAGAGAGACAGTTGTCGAGCTCTAACCAACTGAGCTACAGAGAGACAGTTGTCGAGCTCTAACCAACTGAGCTACAGAGAGACAGTTGTCGAGCTCTAACAACTGAGCTACAGAGAGACAGTTGTCGAGCTCTAACCAACTGAGCTACAGAGAGACAGTTGTCGAGCTCTAACCAACTGAGCTACAGAGAGACAGTTGTCGTGCTCTAACCAGCTGAGCTACAGAGAGACAGTTGTCGAGCTAACAAGACGCTCTGTTGAGCGTTTAGTCGCTGGGGCTATTAAAATAAGGTCTTTTGCGCAGGGCTTCTGCGCTTATTGCTCTCTCTTCTGAGAGCAGTGTATAAGCGCGGAAGCCCTGGGTACGAAGTTGATATTATACAAATAATGAATGTTTCTTCGTGCAATGGTAAGAATATTTTCATTCGGTGAAAGATGGAATGTTCCATTCAACGAGGCGACAGCCGAGTTGAATGGAACATTCCATCTTTCACCGAATGAAAATATTCTTACCATTGCACGAAGAAACATTCGTTATTTGTTTTATATAATACCAAAAGTCCAGAACAGACTAATAGATTCGTATGAGAAGCATTTTGAGGGATGCGATTTATCGAAAACACAAAGAGTGCAATTGTACTATACGTTTTATTCCATTGCACTTGCGGAGAGTGCAATGGAACGTGTTCCATTGCACTCTTGGGAAATGGAATTTTCTATTCAATATCACGTGACCATAAACAGCCAATTAAACGATTAGAATTTAATAAGGTATTATATAACATTTATTGGATTTATCCGGCTTAGGACAACTTCGAGGACACTGGAAACCAGGCTTAAACAAATTTATTGCAACTCCACTTTTTGACCCTTCAACTGATTTTCTCAAAAAATTTAATCCCCCCCCCCTTCTAGTAAATTATTTATACTCATGGGGTCATGACCTTTTGCCCCCTCCCCCCCCTCTTCCATAAATAAGGACTGGTCCCTAACTGCAGGAAATATATGTGCACTTCACAGAACATTTATAACAATTCATAATTTATTACTTTTGCCTCAGGCTGGGTAACCACAACAAAAGTTGGCAAATAGGCCCTTTGAAGGTAGCTTGCATGTCAGGCTCGATGCTTGAAATAGAGCCTGTTATACCATGTGAGCAAAGTCCTCTCATATTTCTTCTCGGCACAGCACGGAGAAGCGAGAGATAAGCAACTGCCTATTTCCCAGAAGAAGATTTAATAAATAGTTTCCGGTTCGGATCAAAACCGGTTATAAAACTGGTATCAAACCTGAAATTACTCATAATTATCCAAGTTTTTGAATTGTCGGCTCCACAAAGAATATACACAAGTGCTGCAGAGTATCTCTTGTGCTGAGAAGAAATACGAGAGGACTTTGCTCGCAGGGTAAGCCTGTCACTGAAGTCAATAAAAAGTGGACAGTGATTGGGATGCACAAAAATAACAACCAATCAAAATGGCGATTGTTAATTATGTATCAGTCAATTCCAGCAGTGCCCATCCCCCCGAGGTATTAGCCATTTCTGGGAAGAAAATGGCTATGTCCACAAGCCATTTGCAATCAAATTAAATATCAGTTTTCCAGCAAATCTACCAAATCCCCCATGATGGAAAATGTCAAAATCCTCACCCTGGGCAGGGCTAAAAAATATTGGCAATAGCCCCACCCCCGTGATTGGGAAAAGCTGCAAAGGCCCAGGGGTGGGAACTGCTGGAATTAATTGATACATTAGATTATCAAAGCTAATTTAAAATATGACAATAACGGCCAACTTTTCCACCAATATCTCAAAACTAAATATTCCAATTTTCATTGAATGGCCAGGAATTACATATTAAATAATAATAATTGTTATTGACTGCAGCGAAGGCAGTCATTAACATGGCCAAAAGTAGTTAAATACAATTACAAATACGGAATATCATTACATACACAACAATTTGACATTACCTTATAAACAAAGCTATTTATTTCTGACCAATGGGAATTTTGCGTACGAATCATGTGCATCAATCCTTTTTACTGACCTCAGTAGCAGGCTTTATTTCAAGCATAGAGTCTGACACGCTAGTTACTTTTAATAACCCATTGAGTTGCATTGACCCCCCCACACACACTTAATTTCAATACATTGTTTTCACCATTGTGTTTATACAACCTTGCAAATTTACTAGTAGGAATTTCCATTGTGTTTGCAGCCCTCACACTTTGTGTTTCATTATGGCATCTTGACCTTGAAAGAGTCTATTACTGTGGCTCCAACATTTTCCCGTTCGGCGTTAGAAACACAATACATTGATAATAAAATGACTGAAATATTACAGATTTAAAAGCCTGACACCTAGCGACAAAGTTTAAGTTTCACACAAGTAGTGACGAATGGTGACCATTGTGGTTGTATTTCGGTCTTGTTAGGCTACACCATGTTCTTTTGACCACCTATCCGTAACAGGATTATTTGCATCAACAGCCGTAAACAAAGCACCCAAATAAACAGCAGTTTGCGAATATTATTGTTGCAATTTACAAAGGTTGCGGCCCGTTCCAGCTTTGTAAAATTGAAAATTGTGAACTTTTGTCCTCTATTTCAAGCTTGTAGCCTTCCAAGTTTACTCACATAAAATGAATTTCGCTTTATAAAGTCTGTTTCATCGGAAAACTTTTAAGGTTCATCGGAAAAATAAAAAAAATACAGCGACGAATAGTAATGACGTAATTTTTATTTTTTATTAATGACGTAATTGTCATTTTGTGGCTAACGATCCAAGATCCGACACAAATGCGTGCCGAAACCTAGAGTCGCTGCGGGCTCTGCCCAGCGACTAATTAAATATATCAACACGGCTCTTAGCCAATCAGCGTTCAGAATTTACAAATGCTATATTATAACAAAATTTAGGCAGCGTTTACACTGTACCGTTTTCGTAGCGTTCTCGTATTGTTCTTAATCCTCAAGGGAACGCAAGACAATACTCTAGTTCTCTCGAACAGTACGAGAACGCTACGAAAACGGTACAGTGTAAACGCTGCAATGCAAATGGTCCATTGGACTATAAAAAAAATGTTTCTCGCGGCCGCGGGACAACCGCAGTTGTCAACAACTATGCTATATAAGGTTGATGACTCAAGAGACTTGTTATGAGTTGTTTCAACAATTTGTTATCATCTAAACAATTTGTACAAACACTGATGGTAACATCTTGTTGAGAACATAAAAAGTTGTGAGATTTCTACTTCATATTGTCTATGAATCATGTTCAGGAAACAAGTAAACAGCACTCCAGAAATATCATACAAGTTTGGATACTATGGTTTGAGTGAGCAAATGAAATCCCTGTAAAATTACATTCACAACCCAATGGTTCTGCAGTGCAATCACCATCACCACCTTCCTGAGCTTATTATGTAATGGAATTTAAAAAATAAATCTGTTTAAGTTTTAAATGCCTGAGTGTCCACACCTAAAAGTCTGCACCCCACTCTCCTCCCCCCTGGCAAATGAACATGAATATACTGCATGTTGGTAGAATTTCTTCAACAATATTAATTGAGCCATTTATTGTCCCATAAAAACCAATGAACAATCTTTTATTTTTCTCAAGTGTGTTTTTACATATGTACGTACATATTGGCTTCGCCTCGGGAAACAACGGTGGTCTCTGGTACAATCATAAAACTTTGCATAAACTATCAATTGTTTACAATAATATCTTCTATATAATCATATATTATTTCACCCAATGCCATTACGGTCACTCTATGCAACAATGTTTTGAAACTATGTGGACACTGGCCCTGCCAATTTTTCAGATCAGAACACTTCTACAATAAGTGCAGTATTGTACATTAAATTACTATCTACATTATCCCATCACCAGTGGCAATTAACAACAGAATTATGCAGTAATTTCCATCAATGCATTCCAATTAGCGGACTGGGGACGAGTGTTAAAAAGTGCCCAAATTTTGCCCAAATTAAGAAATGAACCAAATCACTAAAAAGGCCACCTCAAAATTAGTAAATATACAAAGTTTGAAGACGTTTCCATGAATACGTCAAAAAAAAAGAACAACAGTACATTTCATAGTAATTATCGCGATTTTCGAAAGCTTATTATTCGAAGGGTATTTATGTAAATGTATTCAAACTTTGTATACTTACTAATTTTGAGGTGGTCTTTTTAGTGATTTGGTTCATTTCTTGATTTGGGCACTTTTTAACATTCGTCTCCAGTCCTCTCATCAACTTCAGACTGGCTAATGCGCCACTTGAATCAAGTGTGCGTCTAAGATCAACTAAAATATAAACAAAAGCTTTCTCACCTTGAGATATAAAATGAAAAATACCATTTTCTGGAGCTAGCTTTATTTGTATGACACTTAGCACAACAGTCAATAAATGTCAATAGTACCATCCAGTTGCAGTTCAGTAATCGAAATATTCCATTGTCTTTTCATTTTCTTGAAAATCTCCATGCCATCAAGTCAGTGGCGTAGCCAGCTCGATAAGTGGGGGGGGGGGACATATTATATATTCGTATTCACAGACAGTAAAAACAAAATTTCAAAATAAATTAATAATGCAGAACAGGAATATATGAAAATGTCCCCCCCCCACACTTATCAAGCTGGCTACGCCACTGCATCAAGTCACGATTCAGTGATCGGAATGTACCATTGTCTTTTTATTGTTTCGAAAATCCCAGTACTGTTCTCCATGCCATCCAGTCACTGAGTCATTTTTTCGACACTGTTGTAATTTTCTGCGCTGATGCTGCAAAATTTGTCACAAACGTTTCCAAACCAATTACTGTCACAAATTATGCTCCCATTGGACGAACACTGGTAGTTTTCTTTGGTGGTGTTGCAAAATGTTAAACAATATTCACCAAACCAATTTTTGAAACAAATTTTCTCGCCATTTTTGTTACAGTTATATGTTGGCGCACTGTTGTTGCAAAAGGTTAAACAATTTTCACCATAGTAGTTTGTTTTACAGTGTTTTTGTCCCGTGTTGTGACAAGTGTACGTTTTTGATGAGTTATCGCAAAACTTTGAGCAGTTCGTACCAAACCAGTTTTCAAAACAGGTTTTCTTGCCATTAATATCGCACTGATAGGTCGAGGAAGTTAAATTAATACAAAATTTTGTACAATTTTCACCAAACCAGTTTGGAAGACATTGTTTATTGCCGTCATGACAAGTGTAGTGACCCGTGCTGTTGTCTCGAGGTACGCAAGGAAGGAGGCATCCTGGAATGTCACATTCTAATCTCGTTCTTATTTTAAGTTCCCATTTATCGGAGACGATATTATATGTTTTGAATTGTTCTAACCGTGGTATAATCGTGCCAGCCTGACCATGATTTGTTCTGTTGGTTGGACCTGTTGTGTCACATGACTGCCCGGATGGACGTTTCCACACAGTTACACCCAGTTCACTGTTGTGCTGAAATGTAAAGATTAAGGTTGGGCTAAACTGTGTGAGTCAGTCAGTCACTATAAATCTAATGTATCCCTTAAGAAAGTACCGCAATATTAGTTACAAAATGCGCTGATAAAACAATTATCTTCTATTCAGTAGATTTTAGTGTGTTCGCAAAATTAAAAATACAAAAAGTCAGATAAAATTTGTTCAAAGAGAAACTACCTTCCACTCTGTGAATTTGAATGTATAGCTTTGGGGATGGGGATAACCTTTCCCAGTGCTACGTCTTGGCGTAACCACGGCTATGCCTGTGCCTGTTGTAGTGTTGAGGTTGCAACGTGGAAAACCAGAAGGTGATGTCGTCACACATAGTTTAATACATGTTCGTGACAAGTCGTTTGTCTTTTCACTATAGCTATCCAAATCCAAGTGTAAAGTTCCTTGACTGTTGGTAACCTAATAGAAATATATTTGAGGATTAAAATAATTTTATTATTCAACGATTTTGTCATTCTTCAAACCGCAGTATAACATTTATCTCAAACTTGGGATTCCACGGTGCTGGTAGTTTTGAGCATAGTAGCTATAGTCTCCAACATTGTTGGGCCAACATCATCCGACAATGTTACTATAATAGATATGACTGCTTCTCTTTCAAATCTTTCTGGTTAGATAAGCTTTACTCAAACTCTAAACCTAGTCTTGACAAAAATATTTGAAAAAGAGGCCGTTTGGGCCATTATTTCAACAATGTTGGATGATGTTGGCCCAACAAAGTTGGATCCGTTTAAACAGGGCTTTAGTTTATATATACTGTTGACATTTTAAACTCTTACTTACTAAAACAAAATCGGTTCGATGTTTCGAACGAAGGCTTTCGTCCGGAAGAAAGCAGAACACTCCATTATTATACCAGACGATGTACCTTGGCTAGACTATTGTCGTAGTTTATTATCTCTGTCAAATGGTTACGTATACTTGGCAAAGGCTAAGCAAAGATGTAATCTTAGATTAAAATTTAATCCGCAATGTACTATTTAAAGTACGCGTAGGAGTGTTTTATCAGATATAAAACGCGAGGCGCAGCCGAGCGTTTTATATCTGATAAAACACGACTACAAGTGCTTTAAATGGCTTAAAAAACGACTCATCTTATATGAGTTCATTGGCGAAGAAATTTTTAAAATAAACTTTGTCTAAACCGAGAAAATCAAAGCTAAAGTTTATGTAAATTAACATGATTTTTTATCACATATAAAGATACGACACGCTTATGATTTTTCTTTGTGTTTTCCTCCTGAATTTTTAATGAGTTTTTTAAATAGTACTTCAAAAACTCATTAATAATTCATAAGCTTATTGGCAAATTATGTCAACTATAATATGTCACGTGCAGTGGCTTTAAACCTGATAAAACACTCCTAATTAGTATTCTTTATATAAAGAATACTAATAAGGCAGTATCTATTGTTGTCGTGTCCTCATTAGTATTTTTTATATAAAGAATACTAATAAGGCGGTATATCTATTGAATTTGTATAGTCGTGTTTGAAGCCGTTTAATTAATAAACTCGCAGGTCGTGTTTTATTAGGTCTAAAGCCACTCGCGCTGCGCGCTCGTGTCTTTAAACCTAATAAAACACTCCTGCTCGTTTATTAAACAGTACTTCAAAAACTCATTAATAATTCATGAAGCAATTATCCAATCTTGAGTAAGAAATTAGTCACGTGCATACGTCTTTATACCAGCTAAAGAACACTTTAACAAAAGACCATTGTTATGCAAACTATATAAAGATTTTTATATAAAGATTTTTATATAAAGATTTGACTTATTATGCAAACGTTTTTGAAGTACTGTTTAATAAACGAGTAGGAGTGTTTTATCACATATAAAACACGACGCGTAGCGGAGTTATATGTGATAAAACACGAACTACGAGTTTATTAAACAGCTTCAAAAACGTCTCAGTTAGATCACGGCATTGGCGAAATAATTTTCCAAAATAACTTTGTATTAGCTGAGAAAATACAAGTTGAAATTTGAAGCGTGTTTTATCACATATAAAGACACGCCACGCTCATGATTTCTCTTTGTGTTTTCCTCATGAATTATTCATGAGTTTTTGAAGCCATTTAAAAAACTCGCAGGTCGTGTTTTATTAGGTCTAAAGCCCCTCGCGCTGCGCGCTCGTGGCTTTAAACCTAATAAAACACTCCTGCTCGTTTTTAAATAGTACTTAACATGCTTGCACCGTTACGATTCGGGTACGGATCGAACTTTTTGCCTACAAATAAACCTTTTATTTTAGTATAAACAAAAGATATGCATATGACGGCAAAATGAAGGCAATTATAGAAAGTAGTTGCGCCATATTCATTGGGCAGTAACTTTAAGCAACCAATCAAAATACATTTGACGTACAACGGTACAAGTATAAAAACGTTTTATACAGCGTTAGCCAATCAGATAACGGTATCATAAGTGATGTATCTGTAGCCTGATTATGTCAAACAAATTGCCCTTCATGGGGAAAACCAATTCCAATTCTGGTATTCGGCGCAACCACGGCTATGCTTGTGCCTGTTGTAGTGTTGAGGTTACAACGTGGAAACCCAGAAGGTGATCTCGTCACGCACCTGTTGAATACATTCCAGTTGATGTCCTGTCGTTTGTCTTTTCACGATAGTCAATTAAATCCAAGGGCAAAGTTCCTTGGCTATAGTAACCTAATACAAATACATTTGAAGATGAAAATTATGTTGAATATTAAATAATTCAACGATTTTAATTTATTATTTTCTGATCTTTTGATCCGAGTTAGTAAGCGAGGCCAATTTTATTCGTGTGTATAAAGCAGTCGGTATAATTACATCGAAGCTACAGAATTCCAATCCTATTATACCACTGAGCATTCTTTCTACACTCTATTGTTTGGATTAATATCAATTGCACATTTCAAGTTACAAAACCTCACTCATAAGACACAAAAATCTCCACCAAACAGCTGGCTTGCATTTATACTAATATATGATTCGAAGTACGCAAAAAATTAGCAAGTTCGTAACTGAAATAATAAAATACAATTCCAAAGTGCGTGATATACCCCCTGCGAATACAAATCCTGATACGTATGCAAGCATCACTCGCTAAATAATTTTTTATCAGTTTAAATCAAATCGGTTTATAAGCAACGCGTTTTGGTTTTGGCAATACATTTTGACCCCATGCGTGCGTATTATTTGAGGAACTTTGCCGCGGAATTCGCATAATATGCTAAATAATCGACAATCGTACCTTAATTAATGCTAAGACAAAGACCAATACAAACACAGGCTTCCAAATTGTTTGGGAATCTTTCATCGTCGTATTGGTACAAAGATTTATTACGATAGAACGACAATGCTTTAAGTTATTTTGCCTCTGGTGGTTTTTATCAAAACTTCAGCCAGCCGCCAGAACACGAGCGAGTTTGACGACTGCGATATTGATGCTGGAACAAAACCAAACTTTGAATAATAACTACAATACAATACAATATCACGTCGTTTAATTGTCCATAGGGGGCTTATATGTGTTTATCTTTCAGGATCAGCTGAAAATGAAATCAAGTAATATATATGCTTACATGCCATCCCGCAAAGCATCTAAGAATGTACCATAGGTATTACTTGTGTTGCAAGAGTATTTTGGTTACAAATGGTATTATTTCTTCCCGATGAATATTTACGTATTTATTTAAAGCCCTTGCTGCACAATTTCCGGTCTCAATTGCTGTTAATTTCCAGAAGTATTTTTACACAGATATTAATTAATTTTTCAAAATATTGTATAGTTCATTGCTATTCTCCCCAGATAATATTTGAATCCTTTGTTTTTATTTACTTCCAGGTAGTATAGATGAAAAAATATTACATGAAATTAAAATTCCTAGAAAATTCTACATGCATGGGTTGCTTACAGGAAATTATATTTCAAAAACTCATTAATAATTCATGAGGAAAACACAAAGAAAAATCGGCAGTATATCTTTATATGTGATAGAGATTCTCTTTGATATACATAAACTTTCACTTTGATTCTCTCGATTTACACAACGTATTTTTTGAAAATTACTTCGCCAATGTATCGATCGTTTTTGAAGCAATTTAAAACAATCGCAGTGCGTGTTTTATATATGACCTAAAGATACTCGGCTTTGCCTCGTATCTTTATGTCTGATAAAACACTGCTGCTCATTTAAATATGTTTGAAGCGAAACCAGGATTATTCATAATAAGTTTTTAGACGTTCTCTGGTTTTTAAATATTTATTATTACGAGCTTTCGACTGCCAGTCTGCAGTCTTCAATGGGTGGATTACAATCCACAATTTGTAATCCACCCGTTGAAGACTGCAGACTGGCAGTCGAAAACTCGTAATAATAAATATTTGAAAACCAGAGAACGTCTAAAAACTTATTACTGCTGCTTATAGTTTTAAATAGTGCATTAGATAGTCATGTTATAGGACTTCATATAGAATAATATGGATTTGTGTTGAGTTTTGACGTTAGCAAAACCCGGCCTGTTTAGTTACATACATGTTGTTTATATGCCTATATATATGATTTCATGTTCGACGGGTTTTTGTACATGGAAATTTTGACTGTAAGTTTTATACATTTATTAGACCCAACCAGCAGTAGTTGCGAAAAATACAACAACGTATACATGCCCCTCTGCAAGGCATATTTTACCATATATACGGGGCAGGGGCATTTGGCCCCCCAGGGCCCCTTGTTCGCCCCCCACTAAGACAAAATTGGCCCCCACTTCCTGGACCCTTTTGGTAATTTTTGTATTTGGTCTTTCAAATTTTTCTCTTCGTCAGAATATATTGCTTGCTCAAATTGAAATAAGTCGTGCTTATCACGTGTTTTTGACCCAATTTTGCCTGAATAGTTAGGAACTTTCGTCATAAATTGGCATTATAAAATGGTATTTCCGAGACTTCAGTTTTCAAAATTTTCCCGGGGGAAGATACCCCCCCCCCTACATCGTTCGCGCCTCATGTCGCTCGTCGGGCCCTTTTGTGCATAATGGCCCTCCAGCGTAAATTCCTTAAAATATGCATTGGCCCTCTGGCAGGAATCGAACCTGCGATTCCGGTGCAGTGCTCTAACCAACTGAACTACAGAGAGACAGTTGTCAAGCTCTAATCAACTGAACTACAGAGAGACAGTTGTCAAGCTCTAATCAACTGACTACAGAGAGACAGTTGTCAAGCTCTAACCAACGAACTACAGAGAGACAGTTGTCAAGCTCTAACAACTGAACTACAGAGAGACAGTTGTAGCTCTAACCAACTGACTACAGAGAGACAGTGTCAAGCTCTAACAACTGACTACAGAGAGACAGTTGTCAGCTCTAACCAACTGAGCTACAGAGAGACAGTGTCAAGCTCTCTAACCAACTGAGCTACAGAGAGACAGTTGTAGAGCTCTAACCAACTGAACTACAGAGAGACAGTTGTCAAGCTCTAACCAACTGAGCTACAGAGAGACAGCTGTCAAGCTCTAACCAACTGAGCTACAGAGAGACAGTTGTCAAGCTCTCTAACCAACTGAGCTACAGAGAGACAGTTGTCGAGCTCTAACCAACTGAGCTACAGAGAGACAGTTGTCGAGCTCTAACCAACTGAGCTACAGAGAGACAGTTGTCGAGCTCTAACCAACTGAGCTACAGAGAGACAGTTGTCGAGCTCTAACCAACTGAGCTACAGAGAGACAGTTGTCGAGCTCTAACCAACTGAGCTACAGAGAGACAGTTGTCGAGCTCTAACCAACTGAACTACAGAGAGACAGTTGTCGAGCTCTAACCAACTGAACTACAGAGAGAGAGTTGTCGAGCTCTAACCAACTGAACTACAGAGAGACAGTTGTCGAGCTCTAACCAACTGAACTACAGAGAGACAGTTGTCGAGCTCTAACCAACTGAACTACAGAGAGACAGTTGTCGAGCTCTAACCAACTGAACTACAGAGAGACAGTTGTCGAGCTCTAACCAACTGAGCTACAGAGAGACAGTTGTCGAGCTCTAACCAACTGAACTACAGAGAGACAGTTGTCGAGCTCTAACCAACTGAGCTACAGACAGACAGTTGTCGAGCTCTAACCAACTGAGCTACAGAGAGACAGTTGTCGAGCTCTAACCAACTGAGCTACAGAGAGACAGTTGTCGAGCTCTAACCAACTGAGCTACAGAGAGACAGTTGTCGAGCTCTAACCAACTGAGCTACAGAGAGACAGTTGTCCAGCTCTAACCAACTGAGCTACAGAGAGACAGTTGTCCAGCTCTAACCAACTGAGCTACAGAGAGACAGTTGTCGAGCTCTAACCAACTGAGCTACAGAGAGACAGTTGTCAAGCTCTAACCAACTGAGCTACAGAGAGACAGTTGTCCAGCTCTAACCAACTGAGCTACAGAGAGACAGTTGTCCAGCTCTAACCAACTGAGCTACAGAGAGACAGTTGTCCAGCTCTAACCAACTGAGCTACAGAGAGACAGTTGTTGAGCTCTAACCAGCTGAGCTACAGAGAGACAGTTGTCGAGCTCTAACCAGCTGAGCTACAGAGAGACAGTTGTCGAACTCTAACCAGCTGAGCTACAGAGAGACAGTTGTCGAGCTCTAACCAGCTGAGCTACAGAGAGACAGTTGTCGAGCTCTAACCAGCTGAGCTACAGAGAGACAGTTGTCCAGCTCTAACCAACTGAGCTACAGAGAGACAGTTGTCGAGCTCTAACCAGCTGAGCTACAGAGAGACAGTTGTCGAGCTCTAACCAGCTGAGCTACAGAGAGACAGTTGTCGAGCTCTAACCAACTGAGCTACAGAGAGACAGTTGTCAGCTCTAACCAACTGAGCTACAGAGAGACAGTTGTCGAGCTCTAACCAACTGAGCTACAGAGAGACAGTTGTTGAGCTCTAACCAGCTGAGCTACAGAGAGACAGTTGTCGAGCTCTAACCAGCTGAGCTACAGAGAGACAGTTGTCGAACTCTAACCAGCTGAGCTACAGAGAGACAGTTGTCGAGCTCTAACCAGCTGAGCTACAGAGAGACAGTTGTCGAGCTCTAACCAGCTGAGCTACAGAGAGACAGTTGTCCAGCTCTAACCAACTGAGCTACAGAGAGACAGTTGTCGAGCTCTAACCAGCTGAGCTACAGAGAGACAGTTGTCGAGCTCTAACCAGCTGAGCTACAGAGAGACAGTTGTCGAGCTCTAACCACAAGTTCATGTTTTGGTACTAAGGCGATGCCAATGTACGGTGTATGGGTAAATATCAAGATTTTGTTGGCGATTACTCGAAACAGCGCTCTAACCAACTGAGCCACAATGCATACCTGTAATCGTTTCGGTATTGAATTTGTTTCCTGATTCCTTAGTTCTTCAAAAGTTCTTTTCTCGACATAAGCTTGCTCCACTTGATCATGAACATCTGATAATTGCTTGACCAAACCAACAGCGCGAGACTGAACGAAAAATGACACAGAATTATAATCAGAGAATACCTACTAGCCTGCAAAGCGGGTGTTTTGGGTGGGCCTCGTTTACCTGGTATCCTCCTAAAAGAACTTTCAATTTCTTTTCTATTCTCGAAGCCTTCTTCGCATCTTGAGCCATTTGCGAGCGATTGAGCTAGGGACAGAAAAATATTAACTTCGTGATATAGAATAACCTGTTCTGATGTAGTGGTGTATGTACTCAGGTCAGGTGAAATTATTTAAGATGATGTTAATCTGATTATGTGCACTGAAAAGTTTGCTGACCGAAACTTTACCTCAAGATGTTTTTCAAGTGATTCCAGTCTATCTTTCTTACTGGCCAACGCAGCTCTTGTGTATCGCTTTTGCGACGGCAAAAACATGACCTAGTGGGGAAAATAATTGGAACAAATGACATACTAATTATATGCTGCTCAAGACTACCTTCTCATTCCTTTCGAGATAAGAAATTGGGAATAGGTGGGCTTCAGTCAACGACAGCAAATAATGGTCAAGTTTAGCAGTTGATGGTATTTTGCTGCCAGTAAAAGAAATTGTATTATCTCAAACCATTAATAATTCATGAGAAAATTAGCCAACCATATTGCTTTATTTTGCTTACATGATAATACTGGATGCCTGGTGTGAAGTATATTCATCCAGTCCTAGGACTGGATCGGAATTAAATCAGTCTAAGTAGTGATTTATTCATATGAGATGTCATTTCAAATCATCCAATTCGGACTGGACTAGATTTCAACTTCTCGCATTTTGATCTTGGCTTCGCCTCGGACTGGATAAAATTGCGCGCGGATTTGAAATCTAATCCAGTCCTCATAGTCGAAGTTGAAATATTACTTCTAGGCAATCGCTCACCTGTGCATAACACTCATTCCATACTTTAGAGTAAGACTCTAGCGGTAAATCACCATGTCCTATTCTCTGTTTCACATACTCCATTTCTTTCACCAGTAACTTCTTGGCGTCGGCCATTTCTTCTTCGTTGAATTTCTCATACTG